ATTTTTTATTATTTTTCAAATTTTTATTTTATTTTTTTAAATTAAAACTTGAAAAAACATGTTTGAAAATCAGACATAATTTTTTACAGTTAAAATGTGTCTCTATGAAATGGTGATTTTTTACGCCTTAAGTGGTAGGATTGAGCCCCCAGGAATTCCTCTTCCTTCACCATTAAACCTAAATATGTGATAGTTCCTTGCTCTCCTAAGAACTCTTACAAAAAAACAAATCAAGCTAGAAAGTAGAAATATATTGATTCCCTACCGTCTTTTCTAGCTTGGTAACTTCCCTGGCGGTGCTAGAGTCAAATCTAAATTCAGAACAATTTCCCTTGGACCGCTGACCAATCCTAAATTTATCTTCTTAGAACTATTGAATAATGCTTTATCTACCAGCTTGAATCCTGTTTTCTTTTTAGTCTTGTAAGGCGTTTGGACCCCCAAATTTCCATTAGGTGAAGGCACCCTGGTTGCTCTGTCCACCTCTATCCTGTATTGTAATCCTGCTTCATCTCCCTCCTTGTAGAGGGTCACTACATCACCAACTTTCAAGTGGTTCTCGCGAACAAAGGGAATCCAACCATTAGAGAGAACAGGTTTTTTGTGCCCCTGTTTCCTAGTGCTGCATACCATTGGCCAACCCCTTCCCTCGTACAAAACTTTCAATCTTACAGCATGGCCTCCGTTGAAATGTGGAAGGGATTCGAGACTCTTTGTCCGGATAGCTAGTCTCTTGGTGATATCAGTAGGCTTCAAAGGTTTCTTAAAGAGCATGATTGGGTGAGGCATGGTGGTAAGATTGTGGGAATTTTCAATATCAGGAGAAGAAAAAGTAGAGTAGGGAAGATTGAAGATGGTTTGGTGAATGAAGCAGCTGGTGTTAGTATAACATCTATTTATGTTGTTCAATTGGATTGTGTTTTACCATGATAATATGAAAGATGATGATAATTCATCTATGTATAAGGGGCCCCATTTTTCCATAAGGAATCTATCATCCCATCAGTTCTTTTGGAAGAAAAACTTTGCGCGGACCCATTTTTCTTGCTAGTGCTTGTGTGTGTAACCCATGACGTCAGTAATTCCTCGTTGCATTCGAGAGCAAACTTTGTCCATTCCAGCGCTCCCAACCCAAAATCGGACGACTTGAAATTGAATTCCTCAAATAAATATACTATGTTAATATAAATATGAAAAGTGTTTTGAAATTTTTGAAAAATTAAGAGAAAAAATA